TATAAGTTTAACATGACAGCAAATGTACAACGTTTTGACAAAACCTTGTCGAAACGTTGTACATTTGCTGTCATGTTAAACTTATATTAAAGTTTTTCTTCATTACCCATTTAAGCCGTCTCCAGCCATTATTAGTCTCAAAGTGGGTTCCTCGTCATCGAATTTGAAGATCGTCATTTGTTTAACTTAAGACAGTTAAGTTATAAATTATTATTATTAAAATATATAAATTATCAGTATAGTATTTATAATTGTAATTTGTAAAACTAAAAGTGTAATGGTAATAGTGTAGTATAAAACTATAATTGTAAAGTGGCGTAGGCCAGTTATTTTATATTCTTATTATTCTACTAATAAAAAAGCAAAAGTTTTTAAGACGTGCTCATTTCGATAACCTATGCTAAGTGAGTATGTATTATATACGTAAAAAAATATTATAATTTAAATGACTCCGACTCTAGTGTCCAAATATAGAAATTAGAATTAAAAAGCACCCCCTAAGTTATTAATTTTCAGTAAATGATTACCTGCCCATGGGAATTTGTAGAAATGAATAGTGTGAAACTGTTTTTTAAAATTGAAATTACACTTTGTTAAATGTTTGTGTAGATGTTTACCACACCAAATATACATTTATTTTTTGCCAGCTATGTGCTATCCACTTATTAAAGTTATTAACGTAATGACTTAGAAACTAAAAACAAAAATTATGTGATTTTTTATCATAAATACATTAAATTCTACCAAGTATTATGTCTGAGCAGTTTTCTATTTCGAAGATTGTGGCTAGTATTTGTACTTATAGTTGTTAAGTTCTTCAAGATGACCTCTCTTTCTAACTTAAAAATAATATTTTACAGGAAAGTTTTAATATGAGTAATGAATTATAGATTATCTCACTGGCTGCCATATTATTTTGTGTTGTTTTATTAATACATCAATAATTTTTATTAAAGACATCTTGAACCTCTTTTGTTAAAAATAATTTTCATTAAATTTGTTGATTATTATCCATAGCAAATGATTCTGAACTTCAGAGTGTCTGAGCTTCAGGTTTTGCTGGGGTTCGCAGGAAGAAATAAGTCTGGGAAGAAGCAAGAACTACAGTATAGGGCCTTGGAACTCCTAAAACTCAGGAATACTTCAATAAATATGAAAATTCAAGAGTTGCATAAGTAAGTATATTTTTGGTAGAATACTAGTGCATTTAGATTAACATTAATGTTTATCAGTTAATGTATTTTTGTAGTAAGTTTTTACTTTGCAGACCTTCCAAGTAAGAAGTACAGTATTTTAGACATTTTGTAATCATGATATTGTATAATTTATAGTTTAAGATCAACAATGTAAATATACTTTTTTCTGTTATAATCACTGTGTTGTACGTTCTTATAATTTACTACAAGTTCCAGTATCTACCAAACCCGTGTTTTTCTTGTTTTTTTAAACAGACAGAGATTCCCAAGAAATACACCAATAATAAATTCCAATGATCCAGGTCATCTTTATGGTGTTCCACAACCCCCACTCCCTCACATCAAAGGACCCGGGGAGTCAGTACCAGGAACTCATATGATACCTGGGAACAGCCTACATGCTGCCTCAAGCATTGATTATTCTTCCCCCAAGCATGCTATGCCCAGTATTCAAGGTGCATATAATATGGCCAAGTACCCAGTTCATCCAGATGTTTACCTGAAACCTTTACCATTTTATGATGTTCTTGCTGAATTACTGAAACCAAGCAGTTTAAGTGAGTATGTTCTTTGAAACGTAGAGGAATGGTAAATTAGAAAAGTCTACCTAAAATGTTGGTAAAAGGAAGTGCATATATAACCCTTTTTATTTAGTTGTATACCAGAGAAATCTCTAGCTGTCTTTTGTTTGGTCTATTTCACTTTGCTTAGTCTGTAAGTTCTATATAACCCTTTTTATTTAGTTGTATACCAGAGAAATCTCTAGCTGTCTTTTGTTTTGGTCTATTTCACTTTGCTTAGTCTGTAAGTTCTATATAACCCTTTTTATTTAGTTGTATACCAGAGAAATCTCTAGCTGTCTTTTGTTTTGGTCTATTTCACTTTGCTTAGTCTGTAAGTGCATATATAACCCTTTTTATTTAGTTGTATACCAGAGAAATCTCTAGCTGTCTTTTGTTTTG